CCATGTTAACAAAATGAAGAATAAAAATTAAGATCGTCTCAATAGATACAGAAGTATTTGACAAAATTCAACACAACCATTCATGATAGAAACTCTCAACAACACGGGTACAGAAGAAATATACCTCAACATAATAAAGGTCATACAAACCCACAGCTAACATCATACTCAATTTCCTCTAAGGTCAGGAACAAGACAGGGATGCCCACTCTCACCAGTTTTATTCACCATAGTACTGGAAGTCCTAGCCACAGTAATTAGACACAAAAAAGAAATAAAAAGCATCCAATTTGGTAAGAAAGAAGTTAAATTGTCACTATTTGCAGATGACATGATACTATATATAGAAAACCCTATGGGACGCCTGGTAGCTCAGCTGGTTGAGTGTCTGCCTTCGGCTTGGGTCATGGTCTTGGGGTTCTGGGATCGAGTCCCACACTGGGCTCCTTGCTCGGCAGGGAGCCTGCTTCTCCCTCTGCCTGCTGCTCCCTCTGCTTTACTCTCTCTCTCTCTGACAAATAAAATCTTAAAAAAAAAAAAAAGAAGAAGAAAAAAGAAAACCCTAAACACGCCACCAAAAAAACTATTAGAATAAATGAATTCAGTAAAATTACAAGATACAAAAATCAACATATGGAAATCTGTTGTTTCTATATACTAATAACTATCAGAAAAAGAAATTAAGAAAACAAATACATCAAAAATAGCAATATACCTAGGAATAAATTTAACCAAGGAGGTGGGAGATCAGTACTCTGAAAACTATAGAACAATGATGAAGGAAATTAAAGATGGCACAAATAAATAAAAGATATACCATGCTCACAGATAGGAAGAATTGATATTGTTAAAATATCCAGGGGCAGTTGGGTGGTTAAGTTGATTAAGTGTCCACTCTTGATTCTGGCTCAGGTCATGATCTCAGGGTCTTGAGATCAAGCCCTGCATCAGGCTCTGTGCTCAGTGCAGAATCTGCTTGTCCTTCTCCCTTCCCCCCTTGCTCTCAGTATCTCTCTCTCTCAAATAAATAAATAAAATCTGAAAAAAATAAATAAAATTGGGTGCCTGGGTGACTCAGTCGGTTAAGTGGCTGCCTTCAGCTCAGGTCATGATCCTGGGGTGCTGGGATCGAGCCCCACGTCGGGCTCCCTGCTTAGTGGGGAGCCTGCTTCTCCCTCTCCTTCTGCTGCTCCCCCTGCTTGCACTCTCTCACTCTGTCAAATAAATAAATAAAATCTTTAAAAATAAATAAAATGTCCATACTACCCAAAGCAATCCACAGATTCAATACAATCCCTATCAAAATACCAATAGCATCTCCCACAAAACTAGAATAATCCTAAAATGTGTATGGAACCACAAGAGATCCCAAATAGCCAAAGCAATCTTGAGCAAGGAACAAATCTGGAGGTATCACAGTCCCAGATTTCAAACTGTACTACAAATCTACAATAATCAAAACAGTATGGTACTGGCACAAAAAGAGACACACAGATCAATGGAACAGGATAGAAAGCCCAGAAATACACCCAAGGTTATATGGTAAAATTAATCTATGACAAAAAAGGCAAAAATATACAGTGGGAAAAAGATAGTGTCTTCAATAAATGGTGTTGAGAAAACTGGATAGCTACATGCAAAAGAATGAAACTGGACCACTTTTTTACACAACACACAAAAATAAACTCAAAATGTATCAAAGACCTAAACATAAGACCTGAAACCATAAAACTTCTAAAAGAAAACATAGGCAGTAAACTCTTGGACAGCAGCCTTAGCAGTATTTTTTTGTATAGGTCTCCCCAGGAAAGGAAAACAAAGGCAAAAGCAAACAACTGGGACATCAAACTAAAAAGCTTTTTCATGGTGAAGGAAACCACCAACAAAATAAAAAGGCAACCTGCTGAATGGGAGAAGATGTTTGCAGATAATAAATCCAATAAGAGGTCAATATGCAAAATATATAAAGAACTCCTATAACCCAACACCAAAAAACCAAACTGGACAGAGAACCTGAATAGATATTTTTCCAAAGATGATATATAAGTGGCCAACAGGTACATGAAAAGATGCTCAACATCACTTATCAGGGAAAGTCAAATCAAAACCACAATGAGATATCACCTAACACCTGTTAGAATGGCTATTACCAAAAAGACAAAAAATAAGTATTGGCGATGATGTGGAGAAAAGGGAACCTCCTTGCATTAGTTGTTGGGAATGTAAATTGGTGCAGCCACTACAGAAAACAGTATCTTCAAAAAGTATCTTCAAAACAGTTCTTCAAAAAATTGGAAGTCAGAAATACCATATGACCTAGTAATTCCATTTCTGGGTATTTGTTCAAAGAAAACGAAAACACTAATTCAAAAACATACAAGCACCCGTATGTTTATTACAGCATTACTTACAATAGGCAAGATATGGAAGCAACCTATCAATAGATGAATGACTAAAGAAAATGTAGTGTATATACACAATGGAATATTACTCAGCCATAAAAAGAGTGAAATCATACATTCGCACCAACATGTATGGACCTAGAGGGTATTATGCTAAGTAAGTCAGACAAAGACAAATACCACGTTTTCACATATATAGAATCCAAAAAACAAATGGAAACTAATTCATAAATATAGATAAAAGAAACCTGATGGCTACAAGTGGGGAGGGGGCTGGAGAGAGGCAAAATAAGTGAAAGAGATTAAGAGGGGCAAACTTCCAGTTACAAATTAGTCACAGGGATGAAAAGTATAGCATAGGGAATATAGTTGATAATACTGTAACTTTATATGGTGATAGATAACTACACCTGTCACGGTGAGCATTTCATAATGTAGTTTAACTGTCAAATCACTATACTGTACACCTGAAACTAATATAGTATGTCAACAATACTTCAATAAAAAATCTACAACTCGGGGCGCCTGGGTGGCTCAGTTGTTAAGCGTCTGCCTTCGGCTCAGGTCATGATCCCAGAGTCCTGGGATTGAGCCCCGCACTGGGCCCCGTGCTCCATGCTCCATGAGAAGCCTGCTTCTCCCTCTCCCACTCCCCCTGCTTGTGTTCCCTCTCTCGCTGTCTCTCTCTGTCAAATAAACAAAATCTTTAAAAAAAAAAAAAATCTACAACTCAGTAATAAAGAAAACAAATAACCCAATTAAAAAATGGGCAGGGGCTCAGTCAGTGGAGAGTGCGACTCTTGATCTCAGAGTTGTGAGTTCAAGCCCCACACTAGGCACAGAGATTACTTAAAAAATAAAATCTTAAGGGATGCCCTTAAGGGTCGCTCAGTCGGTTAAGCGTCCAACTCTTGATTTCAGCTCAGGTCATGATCTCAGGGTTGTGGGTTCCATGCTCAGTGGGGAGTCTGCTTGAGATTCTCTCTCTCCCTCTGCCCCTCCACTTCCCTCCCTCTCACTCTCTCTCCCTCTAAAATAAATCTTTTAAATAAATAAATCTTTTAAAAAATGGGCAAAGTATTCAAATAGACATTACTCCAAAGAAGATATACAAATAGCAAATAATCACATGAAAAGATGCTGAACACATCACTAGTCAGTAGAGAAATGCAGATCAAAGCCACAATGAGATACCACTCCACACCCACCAGGATGGCTATTAGGAAAAGGAGAGATCATAACCAGTATTGACAAAGATGTGGAAAAAGTAGAACCCTCACACACTGCCAGTAGGAGTGTAAAATGGTGCAGCTGCTTTGGAAAATAGTGTGGCAGTTCCTCTAAAAGTTAAAGTTATCATTTGATCAATTCCAAGAAAAATGAAAACATATGTCCATACAAAAACTTGTGCATTAATGTTCATAACAGCATTATTCATAATAGCCAAAGAGTAGAAACAATCCAAATGTCCATTAACCATTGAATGGGTAAACAAAATGTAGTATATCCATACAACTCATTATTATTCAGCAATGAAAAGCAATGAAGTACTGATAACATGCTACATGAATGAACCTTGAAAGTATTATGCTAAATCAGACTGGGACACAAAATACCATATATTGTATGATTCCATTTATATGAAATGTCCGTAAACCCATAGAGACAGAAAGTAGACTGGTGGTTACCTAGGGTAATGGTAGAAGTAGGAGTGACTGCTAATGGGTGTGTGATTTCTTTTGGGGGTGATAAAATGCTCTTAAGTGGGATAATGGCAATAACTGCACAATTCTGTAAATATAGCGGAAACCACTGAGTTACACACCTTAAAGAGGTGAATACCATGCTATGTGAATTTTATGTCAATAAAGCTATTAGAAAAAGTACTCTATTGAATAGATGGACATTAATTCCTAATATACATTGCTTCCAATGTATCTATTCTACATAACACTGCTGTGAACATTTTTGTGCCTAGACTTTTATCATATAATTAAGAGTATGGATTCTTGGGGTGCCTTGTGGGCTCAGCTGGTAGTGTGTGCAACTCTTGATCTCAGGGTTGTGGGGTCAAGCCCCATGTTGGGTGTAGAGATTACTTAAAGATACAATCTTAAAAAAAAAAGAGTACGATTCTTTAAAGATTTATTTATTTTAGAGAGAGAGCACACGCGCACACACTAGCAGGAGGGGCAGAGGGACAGGGAGAGAATCTCAAGCAGACTCCCCACTGAGCGTGGAGCCCGACACAGGGCTGGATGCCACGACTCTGAGATCATGACCTGAGCGGAAATTGAGCCACCCAGGCGTATGGATTCTTAAACACTCTGCTTCAGTGAGAATGTTGGCTTGACAACATAGCAGCTACATGAGTGCTGCTTGGGCAAGTCGCTCAACTACTTTGTGCAATCTCCCCATCTATCATATGAAGTAACAGTAGTCACACCTCTTGGAATTCTGAGGATTAAATTAAGTAAGGGCTTTGCATGGTGTCTGTCACACAGTAAACTTTCAACATTAGTAGTTATAATTGTCATTCTGGTTTGTATTATTTTCTCTTTTTTAGGTTTTTCTTTTTTAATTGAGATATTACTTACAAGAAATATGGGACACTTCACTAATTTGCACGTCATCCTTGCACAGGGGCCATGCTAACCTTCTCTGTATTGTTCCAATTCTAGTACATGTGCTGCTGAAGCAAGCACTGTATTATTTTCTTAAGATGATTTCTGGAAGTGGTGTCACTGGGTCAAAACCCATTAACATTTATGTGTTTGAATACATTTTGCCAACCTACATTTTAAAGGAGGTACACTAATTTTTGGTGCCAAGAGTAAATATAGGAGAGAACCAAGGGTAGCCATGCCATCATCAACATTATGTTACAGTAAATTTTTTTTAATTTAACCGATGTCTCAACTTTGCTTGTGGTCCTGAGCATCTTGAAACCCAACAGTTTTCTAGTTGTCCTATGAATCCTGTATACCTTGAGTACCTACCAAATGTGATATCTGCCCAAGACCCTACACTGGGAGCCACAATGGAACCTAAAATGAGTAAGGCCAAGGATTTTGTGTGAGGCAAAGCAAAGAAACATTTCAATTCAAGATAACTGTGATTAAGTATGAGAAAGCTACAAAGTATCTATAAGGGTAGGGAAAAGATGGCAGTTTATAAAGCAGGGAAAAGAGGGCAGTGTTCCAGCTGGTTCTTGAAGGACGGACATTAATTTCAACTGGCAAGGGTGTGGCAAGAGTAAAATCAAGGCTGGTAAAAGAACACAGCACACAGCATATTCCAGGACTGTGGCTTGAGTAGAAAGTTGCTAGGGGGGAGAAGGGGAAGAGAGCAAGGCACAGGGTGCTCTAGGAGCACAAAAAGGACCCTCTAAAACACAGCCAATGACTCCGTGAGCTGAGAGGGAGGGTTTCTCACAGGGCAAAGAGCATGCAGAAAGACACAAAGACGTAAATCATCATGACCCAGCCAAGGAACCACATGTAATCCAATTTGGCTAAAGTGGAGGGGACATGTGGAAAGGATGCAGATGATGCTAAATAAATAGGCAGAAGCTGACTGTGAAGGACTTTGTGTGCCAGAATAAAGCATTTGAACTTTATTCCAAAGGAAATAGAGAAGAGAAGCATTCTTAAGGAAAGAAGTGACAATCAGACTAGCTCAAAAAAATTTACTCTGGCAACCCTCCAACAGCTTCCCAGCTCACACAGAATAAAATCCAAAGTCCTTCTTATACTTAACACCCTACATGCTGGTCAGTGGCTATCTCTGTTTCTGCCACACCAGCCTTCTCAGGGCTTTTGCACTTGCTGTCCCCTCTGCTTGGAACTCTCACCCCATCCCCACCCGAGACACAAAGTTTGCTCCCTCACTTCCTTCAGGTCTCTGTTCAAATTCTTTCTTATCAGAGAGGCCTTCCCTATTACCCAATATAAAAGAACAAGAAACGACAGCAATCAGCCCTACCATTTTTTCCCCTCCACTTACCACCTGGCACATACATTTACTTGTCTATTGCTTGTCTCTCCTTACTAGAATGTAAGTTCCATGATGGAGCCTCTCTCAATAACCCTGTGCTATAGGAACTGTTATTGCCATTTCCAGATGGTGAAATTAAGAGGCACAATATTGCTAGTGAACAGAGGAACCAAGTAGAATGACTCCTGAGCTTGCAACTCTAACCATTTCACATGTGTCAGAGGTCCTGACTTTGATACTATATCATTTCCCATGAATTGGCTCCATTCTGACAAGTACTATGACAGTAAAAACCCTGAATTCACACTATGTCCTAAAAAGATATGGATTCTTACCATTGGTTATTAGCCACGTTTCAAAAGCCAGGAAACATTTTTTTAAATAATCAATTAAACTGCACAAGGTATCTGGACTTTATCCAGCAATAAGCTGTACTTTTTTCTTGTTTAGGACCCAGAGATACTAAAACAAGATGAGAACATTTTATGAAACTAAAAAGAACATAGCATATGACACCAAAACTACTTTTCCAAGACCCTTTTTCAAGTAGAATATTAACTTTAGGAATAAAATCAACTCCATCTTTAAGATGATTATTACAATTTTCTGAGTATCGCTACCAAAGGAAGAACACAGTATCTACCTGGAAAACATCAAGTAAATATTGTATCGTATGCAGATACATATCCTGATTCTTTCCCTACTCCTCAGATTACTAATTTCTTCTTTCCCTGATTCTTCCAACCCATCTCCAATTATTGAGAGTACCCCTTCCCAAATGTAGTTCTCAATCAACACCTTTTCCCATCAGCTACTTCATACCAGAACTTACCACTCTTAATTCCAGCCACTACCTCTATTATAACCAAATCTAGTTATAATTCCTCTTTCTTCCCTTCTGCAGTTTTTGATCTCTAATTGCCTAACCATAAATACTTCGGTACCCCCTTTTATATCCCCACCTTTTTAAAGAAAATTAACTTTTTCAAAATTGGCCCATTCTCTATTTACTTCATTAATCTGTATTATCTGGCTATTCTCCTAGGTTTACAACTTTAACGTATTTTTTCTCCATTTTATCAACAGGACCTGCTAACTGTTCACTGTGTTTCCTACTACCTTACTTTCCAAATTCATATCTATCACCATATTCAGGGTTTTCTTCATTGCCTTCCTGAATTACCACAGTTCTCCCGCTGACCTACTTACTCCTACTTCCAGCCTATTCACTCACTTCCATTCATTCTATACATAAGGCCAGTAAAGCCTCTATCACACAGTACATTCCCAATTCGAGGACTTCTAAATAGCTCCCCAGCACAACAAATCCAAACTTCTCAAACCAGCACTCAGGGCCTTCTACCCCTTCGAACATCACTAATAAATGTTTATCTTAAACATTCTAAGACAAAACCCGAGAAAACCAACATCTTGATCTCACTTATCTGATTCAGTGCAATGCACACTACAGGTCTCTAGACAATACAGATCACCATCTTCCACTTGACTTCAACTAATTACAGAAGACAATGGGAATATATTAATCTATCATCTTCTAAACATCTCAAATTACTATGGGAAGGATTCACTGTCCCAAAAGTTGAACTCTTTTAATCAGCAAAATGAAAGTGTGTACAGTTATCAGAAAATAACACCATATTCCTAGTAACAGTTCAAAGTAGTAAAATATTTTAAAGGTGAATTTGCCAATATCTATAAAAAGTTTAAGTGCAAAATATCCTTTAGCCCAGCAATACTTCCAGGAAATTACCTGTAGATACTCTCACAGAAGAAAAATTATATGCAGGATATTAAACACAACATAATTGTAATAGTGTAAAAAAAATAGGACACACACACACACACACAAAATAAAAAATTAAAAAAAAAATAGGACACAATTAAAACTTCCTTACTGGGTTTTTTTTTTTTTTCAAGTAGGCTCCATGCTCGGCATGGAGCCCAAACCCACGACCTCAAGATCAAGACCTGAACTGAGATCAAGAGTTGGATGCTCAATGGACTGAGCCACTCAGGCATCCCCCCCTTACTGGACTATTATTATACATCCCCACAATGGAATATTATGCAGCAACTAAAATAAAGAAGCAGCTGTATATGAATTGATATGGAAAGATGTTTAAGAATGATCTGAAGGAAGAAAAAAAGTCACAAAACAGAATGTACATTATTATTCTATTTGTGTAAAGGAAATGCATGTATTTGTAAATGCAAGAAAATATCTAAAAAGAAATAGTAAGAAACCACTAATAGCTAATTCTGAAATGGGATTCAGGGGAAGAAATAAGGGATTTTCACTTTTTGGGGTTTGTATATATATATATACATATATATTCTTTTTTTAATTGAAGTATGGTTGTACATACAATATTAGTTTCAGTGTACAATACAGTGATTTGTTATTTCATACATTATGAAATGCTCACCATAATGAGTAGTTACCACCTGTCACCATAGAAAGTTACTACAATTTTACTGACTATATTTCCTATGCTGTACTTTACATCCCCTGATTTATAAGTTCGTACCTCTTAATCCCCTTCAACTATTTCATCCATCCTCCTACCCTCTCTCCCTTCTGGTAACTACCAGTTTGTTCTCTGTATTTATGAGTCTGTTTCTGTTTTGTTTACAGATTCTACCTAAGTGAAATCAAAGGTATGCGTCTTTCTCTAACGTCACATAATACCCTCTAGGTCCATCCCCGTTGTTGCAAATGGCAAGATTTCATCCTTTTTTATGGCTGAGTAATATTCATGTGTATCATGCCTTCTTTATCCCTTCATCTATCGATGGACATTTAGGTTGCTTCCATATTTTGGCTATTGTAAATAATCCTTCAGTGAACACACAGGTGCATGTATCTTTTTGAATCATCTCTTTTTTTAAAAAAAAAATTATATTAAATTTTCACTTAAAAAGAGAAAGAAAGGGGCACCTGGGTGGCTCAGTCGGTTAAGCGTCTGCCTTCAGCTCAGGTCATGATTCCAGGCTCCTGGGATCAAGTCCAGCATCGGTCTCCCTGCTCAGCAGGAACCCTGCTTCTCCTCTGCCTCTGCCTCGATCTCTGTCTGTCTCTCATGAATAAATAAAATCTTAAAAAAAAAAAAAAGAAAGAAAGAAAAAGGGGTGCCTGGGTGGCTCAGTCTGTTATCCCTTTGATTCTTGATTTTGGCTCAGGTCATGATCTCAGGGTCATGAGATTGAGCCCCACATCTGGCTTCATACTGGGCATGGAGCCTGCCTAAGATTCTTTCTTTCCCTCTCCCTCTGACCCTTGCCCCCCCGCCAAAAAAGAAAAAAACAAACAAACAACAGACTAGACTTTTTATAAAAAATTATTTATCAATTTGAGAGAGAGAGAGCACAAGCATGTGAGCTTGGGTGGTGGGGAGGGGCAGAGGGGGAAGAGAATCTTTTTTTTTTTTTTTTAAAGATTTTATTTATTTATTTGAGAGAGAGAGAATGAGAGAGAGCAAGCACATGAGAGGGGGGAGGGTCAGAGGGAGAAGCAGACTCCCCGCCAAGCAGGGAGCCCGATGCGGGACTCCATCCCGGGACTCCATCCCGGGACTCCAGGATCATGACCTGAGCCGAAGGCAGTCGCCCAACCAACTGAGCCACCCAGGTGCCCGGGGGAAGAGAATCTTAAGCAGACTCCATGCCAAGCATGGAGCCTGACCACGGG